GAGAGTGATGACTTGTGGATCGACTGTTTCAGAAAATGGAATCGTCCTATTATCCACCATTCCCAACTCCTCACCCTTTTGTGAAACGGAAACGAAAACGATACATTATGCAAAATCAAAAAAGCTTAAATATAAAAAATGATACATACGTAGTAAGTGATGGCGATGCCTGGCAATGTCATTATTAATGCGTTAAAACCATCAACTCTTCGTTCACTGTATCGCGAACCAATACGTGGTCTATCATGGTTTCCCAGTTGCCAATTGAGCTGATTGCCCACTGGAACACTTCCAAATAATTTATCAATGATTTTCTTAACATCTTTTGGCGTTGAATATTTGTCCATATCACTGATCAAATCAAAATTAAATGGAATATGCGCTCCCTTTCTTTTACCGTTACCAAAATATTTGACATATTCTGTATTATTTACATAAGCTTCAGTCATTAAAACGACTTTAACACCTGGGTTTTTCTCTTCAAATTGATCAGTGGTTTCACGAAATACATGAACTACATCGAATATTTCATCTAAATTTATGACGTAATGATGCAAAAGATAGTCATACGAGTTGTGGTTATTGGTTTTGTTACTCAAAGGTTCGTCGCGCAAATCTTCGTATTCATACAAAAAGAAAATTGCATCAATACGAAAACCATGAGCACCCTTTTCAAGCCAAAAGTTGATAATGTTGGTCATTTCCTTTATCACACGTGGATTACGATAGTTCAGGTCTGGTTGCTCTTTTGCTGAAAAACCATAGATTTTCAATTCGAAAGCTTATTAAAATATTTTTTGAGCAACTTACCAAATGCATGATAGTACCACTGATTTCGTTCTTCGTTGAAAGTCCACGCCGATCCATAGAATGCTGATAGCCAATTATTTGGCGGTTCGGTGTTATTTTTTTTACCATCAGCCCAAACGTAAAAGTTTTCATACTCGGGGTCACGTTTCACTGATTTTTGAAACCATTCGTGTTTGTCCGATGTGTGATTTGGCACGAAATCCAATATGATTTTAATGTTTCTTTTTTTGGCTTCTCTAAACAGCTCTTCTAAATCTTCCATCGTACCAAATATTGGATCGACAGCGCAGAAATCTTCAATGTCATAACCGAAATCAACCATTGGGCTCTGTTGGGTTGAAGAGAAAAAAAATGATCGAAAACATATCATTATTAATTTGATGCTTGCAACTAATAATATACAACGAAAAAATATACAGTGTTTGAAAGTTTGATGCCTTTTTGTCAGTGGGAAGAACTCTGATAAAAACGACTGGTCGATTTCAACATTTTATTGAGACATAAAAGCTTTTAACAGTTATAATACTGAGAGATGACCATTTGGGTGTCTAGCAGCAATTATCTATTTTTAAACTCTCAATAGATTTGAATTTGAGCAGAAATTTTAATAAACTCTCAATAGAATTTACGTCTAGCGTATCCAAATTTGGAGGTGAGATTATTCTACAAGAGACTGTATAAAAACAATCAATGACGCACATTATTTCAGCGGTCAATTACTTGATATGACTGAGTCATAATGACTCCAATTACATTCTATTTTTATTTTATTCATTTGATCGTACAAATGACATATACTATTGTATCATCACAGCTTCTGCACAACGCAACCGAGTTTGTTGATAGTTGCGAGTTATTTTTAGAATGCCTTTAGATTCAAGAAATTTGCTTTACTCATTTCAATCCAAATTCTCCATGACCTACGACAACCCATTCATGCGTGAACCCATCCATGCAGCATATTGAAATTGAAATTATTAGATTGATATTTTTTGGCATTCCTCTCAAGTTTTCAATTTAAATTTAATAGTTTCAATGTATTGTAAGCTGATCTACTTTTTGTTTGAATTTGATTCAATACTAACCTTAAATATTGGCGAAAGCCAAGCTCCATCAATGCCCAATTCTTGTAAGTAGTCTAATTCTTGAATGATGCCTCGAATATCCCCAACGCCGTCACCATCACTGTCTTTAAACGACCGCGGATAAATTTGATAAAAAACACAATTTTCATACCACTCCAATTCGGGTCTTGGATTTATAATATGCGTCTCGTTGGTTGCCCCTGAGTTCGCGCTAGCGCACAGAAATGTCACACAAATAAATGTTAAAATCAGCATCTTTGGAATAACTTTACAGCAGTTGCCAAATATTAAACACTTTTTAAACACACTTTATTTGTAGATATTAATTTGATTTGATAATGAATATTATTTATTTACAAAAAAATGCTTTATACATTTATATGCATTTCGACAAAAATCTTGTCATCATCAAAAACACGTAATCGAGAAAAAGCGAATGTCCGGTGTAACGACAACCCTGTGACTAAAATCAGCACAACAAAATAAAAAAAACAAATGTGTAGCGAGTCCAAATAATGACAAATAACAATGCGACTTCTAAAAACGAAATTTAATCAATTTGATTGTCCAATGAAAAACGATGAGTGTTTTATTTGATGGCAAACAAAATCAAGAAAAAAACATTTTTAGCACCCAATGTGTCGCGAGACGAACTCAAACTGAAATCCTGAAAAAGTGGAAAAATGTATTGGCAAAGTGTGTGACGGAATGTCTTGCGTCGGAAAGACCTGTGGTAAATGTCTGTGCGTTCGCGAGTAAGCTGTATATTTTGCATGAACGGCTAAATATATGAGAATTGAACCGGAGAAGATGACATTTATCTTACTATATATACGTATAATTTATTGATTAAGTCAAACTGGCATATTCGACGTATTTGATAAAAATATTTACACGGAATTCAAGGTTTGAAGAGAGCTTTTTATTTTATCAAATATTGAGAATATTATGACTTATATGAAAAAAGAAGTCAGTAATCTTCAATTTCAGACAACTGGACGCCAGAGATTTATGAATCTATTCTTTCGCAGCGTTTTTTAGTTACATTTTGTTCGTTGATTGCATTGCGTTTGTACAAAATCAAATGTTCGGATTGTTCGTACGAATGAATAATTATTTGTGCGGATGTTTTACTGCCATGAACGTACGTCTTCACAGTCTCACACTCAAACCAAAATGATTCTGTATTCGATTTTTATTTATAAAATGTCTGTACAAATAATCTACAAATACTCAAGCATCTTTTCTGCAGTAAGTCATTTTGATAAAACTCCAATTTGTTTTCTTATTGCTTCTCCATTGTCTGTATTTTCTTTGCAAAATCTTTTGTTGACGCAAACATTTGTCGAAATAAAATCTTGTGTATCACGCGAAAAGAAGCAATTGCCTTAAATTTATTTTTAATTACAATGGACTTTTATCAGACTCTGTCTGCGTAAATAAATGAAAATTGAACTGAAGGGGAGAAATTTGGTATTCATCGATAAAATTTTACAAATGTTTGAATCCAACCTGGCCTTCAGACATGGAGACATAATACGGAAAATAGAATTGAATTGAACAGACAATTTATGTCGTATCGATTTGGCAAATTTTTTATTGAATGTAATTAATATAACTGTTATTGATTCGACTGGAATTCCAGGAATTTTCTTTGTATTCATTATCAGTACAGCACAGTTGACACTTGATATTTGGCGCGATGGACCAAATGTCAACTGCTGTTAAATGGTTGGTAAATTTGCAATATAATTTAATAAATTTTTTAATACCTCTTTTCCTTTCCGTATGTTATATGGCGAATAAGAAATTCAATCATTCATTTCTTTGCATCATCTTTATTTTGCATATTTTAGAGGAATTAACAAATTTGAACAACAACAATAACATTAACAACAATATGAAATGCATAATTAAGTGGTTTTTAAGATTCTATTTAACCTTTTGAAATCGTTCTTATGCAATTCGCTGAATTACGGTTGTTTTGTAATTCATTATTATGAATGTTTTGAGATTTTTTTAAAATTATAATTATGCATCTGGAAATTTGAATCATTTTTGAAGAATTTTCAAATATTCATGATACCTGCAATAGTATAAAAACTAAAATATGTTTATTTTTTTTTTAACTTGAAATTTATTTGGTCATTGTAAACGTTAGTACAGTATAATTTATTTCATACAAAATCGTTTAAAAGTTAATATTTATGATGAATGACGAACAGCACCTCTCAATATAATTGCATCATATCTTCCTAAGACAACTTCATTGGCTTTTACCATATGACTGCAAATAAAAGAAAAAATGAATAATTAAATCAAAAATAATATAAGTGACAATGTGCAAGTGATTTGTGCGCTTACCCTTTTACGTAGCATGAATCAGTGCTAACGAGAGCCAGCTCTAATTCTTTCACATTTTTACCCAGATTACTTTTAGTCAGATCGATTTTCTCTTCACGAATTCCAAAGTTTATGAGGATCCAGTAAGTGTCACTGTTTTCAAGCTCTCTGAAATAAAATGAATCAGAAATGTCTTGGCGTAATCAATTTATTTTTAATTTCAAATATACAATTTACCTGATGTACGCAAACACATTTTCATTCAAAACAGTCGATTTGAATGAACCGTACACAAACGTATCATGTTTTCGAATTTGTATCAATTGTTTGTAAAAGTTCAATGTGCTACGTGGTATTTGCCGTTGTGTTGCCACATTCACATCCTTGTAATTTTGATTGATTGGTAGCCATGGTTTAGCGGTTGAATTTTCTGGCATAAA